CCAATTACCAAACATTTGACGAGCGCAGATACTTTGTACAAGGCCACTCACCCTGCGTTTTTCAGGTAGACAGCCTCAAGGTGGGCTTACTCATTTGTGAAGACGCCTGGTTTGACACTCCTGCACTTGAGAGCAAGGCCGCAGGTGCGCAGATACTGGTAGACATTAACGCTAGTCCCTACCATTTTGGCAAACGCGCCGAACGCTACGCGCGCATGATCCAGCTAGCGCGTTTAACAGGTTTGCCGCTGGTGTACGAACATATGGCAGGTGGGCAAGACGAGTTTATTTACGATGGAGCCTCTTTCGCAGTCGATGCCCAGGGTCAAATTCAAGCCAGCGCAGACAGCTTTGTAGAGGAGCTGATGCATTGCACAGTTTGGGACAATGGCAAGGTAGAGGGCACGCTCACGCCCGAGCATTTTCCCCTGCGCGATGATGAGGCCGATTTGTGGGACGCCTTGGTATGCGGACTCAAGGACTACGTAGAAAAGAACAATTTTGCCCATGTTTTGCTGGGATTATCAGGAGGCATAGACTCAGCACTTGTATTGGCTTTGGCAGTTGATGCGCTTGGCAAAGACCGCGTTCGCGCAATCATGATGCCCTCGCCCTACACCGCCGATATTTCCACCCAAGATGCCGCAGAAATGGCTGCTCGCATGGGCGTGCGCTACGACAGCATCAGTATATTGCCAGAATTTGAGAGCTTTCAAAACAGCTTGAAACCCCTCTTTGAAGGCAAAGGCGCAGATACGACAGAAGAAAACTTGCAAGCGCGTATACGCGGCGTCATACTCATGGCAATATCCAACAAACATGGGGGCTTGCTGCTGACCACTGGAAATAAAAGTGAGGTGGCAGTAGGTTACGCCACGCTTTATGGCGATATGTGCGGCGGCTTTGCCCCTATCAAAGATGTGGTTAAAACCAAAGTATTTGCACTGGCTCGCTGGCGCAATGCCCATAACCCTTACGGCACTTGCGAAAACCCCATCCCTGAGCGCATCATCACCCGCCCTCCCAGCGCCGAACTACGACCCGACCAAAAAGACCAAGACAGTCTGCCGCCTTATGATATTTTGGACGCCATCATCGCCATGTATGTGGAAGAAAATCTGGGTTTGGAAGAAATTGTAGCCCTTGGCTACGAGCGCCAGACCGTAGAGCTGGTGCTGCGCCTAATACGCATCAACGAGTACAAACGCCGCCAAGGCGCTGTAGGCTCGCGGGTGACCCACCGCAGCTTTGGCAAAGATTGGCGCTACCCTATTACGAATCGCTAT